TTGGATAACTTCAATACCTTTTAGATCATATTATTTTTTGATTTCACTTTTCTTTTAAAGACTTTATTGCCTGAGGCTTTTTTTTCATGCAGGGATATACTAGTGCTGAAAACTTGGAATGAAACATGGCCTCCTGCAATCTTTTGTTTTTCTCCAGACCAAATACATGTTCTAGGCTTTCCCTCAAATGGGAACTATCACCCATCTATTATTAATTCTTTTACTTGCAAAATAATTTCTCACATACATTATTAAAATTCTTTCTGTAGCTAACAAAATTGCAGTCAAATAGAAAAACACATTTGAAAGCAAATATTGTTGATAGCCCTTGCTTAGAACTTGATGTAGTAAGTGAAAATGTGTTTGCATCAGCCATAGGCATTGATCCTATGCTGCCATTACATTTAAGTGTCTGAAAGAACACTTAACTGCAGTTATGGAAAACAGAAACACATACAGAAAATTTCTTTTCTGATGCAAAATGAGGACTTTACTTCAGAAATGTTCCCAAAGAGCTGTAGGAGAAGCTGGGACCTGCCTGTCCTACCCTAGCTGATGGTCAGGATTGTCAGCTGTAGAGTAGTCAATCTTAAACCATTCATCTTCACTCTGTGGTGAAGGAACTCCAGCCTGGTCCCATCTCAGCTCATGCTCTGGCTGTGAGGCTCTTCAGGACCTTCCAGTTCTAAATTCAGTTCTTTTTGTTCCTGTTTTCTTCCAAAAGTTTACCTTTAGATTAAAGGCTGCTAGAACATACAGGCTGCATGTTCAAGTATTTATTTGGGGAAGCTTGCAGGATTTTGTTCATCTATACTGTGGAAAAATAAAGCACTAGTACACCAAGTAGTGGGTGTAATTCTGTCTTTGTGTAGAACTCCACTAGTACTTTTTAGGGTTTTGTATAAAGGTGAGGGTTCAGAAGCCTGTAGAATCTGTCAAAGCAGAACAGCTAATGAGACAACTCTGCTACCTCGTGGTAAGTAATAAAAACAATAAAAATATAAAATTCCTAATAAAAAATTCCAAAGTATTGCTTGAGTGTTACATCCTCAGTGCATTTGAAACAGTCTTAGGTTTGATTAAATGTTTTTGGAGAAGCAGTAAACCATTCTCATGTATTTAAGAGAAAACCCAAGTAAATCTGAAAGAATACACACAATATGTTCATTAAATGCCTTTTACTTTTTTTTTTTTGTTGTTCAATCCATGTAATCTGTTTTTAATTTGAGCCTTGTCCCCTTGTATTCTAAACATTGGTAATGCTTATTTTTCTTTGCAGTTGTGCTGGCAAACCATGAAGTGACAGATGATGATGAGCCTACTCTGAAGCGTCAGCGCATAGAAATCAACTGCCAGGATCCCTGTATTAAGGTTATGATCATGTCTGTTTCTGTTTTTATTTGTAATACCAATTAAGTTAGCTCTCTCAGAGCAATACATTAGAAGGAAATAAAGTCAAATGAACTGTTTATATATAAAATACTGGAATTATTCGTAGCCTTCTTGTAAATGCTAATTTTTGTGCATGAATTTGAAAATCTGGATGATTGGCTAATTTTCTGTCTAAAATCAGGAGCAAGAATTTTATATGCAATATAAAACATCATCAGAATTAATTCCAGTGACTCAAACATCCCTATCGCTGACCTAAAAGATAATTTGAGCATGTCTTTGTATGATGATATATGGATACTTTCAGCATATTTCAGATGATTATTTTAGGCTAACAACATTCTCCTAATAGTTAAACCATATTTGGTTCAGGCTCAGTAGCTCAGGCTTTTCTCTGCTTGCAGAACCTCCCCTGCTGTTCTCACTAGTGTGCTTTAGGGGTGGATATTTTTTTGTCTTGGAGTATATGAGTAATATGTTACTGGCACACACATTAAATAGTATGTAATTCTGTATTTTTGAAGTGGTCACAGAAACTGAAGCTCTGGACTGAACGAGTAGAGGGGGAGCTAAACCAGCCTGACTAGGCCTGTAAATTGTAGTGGAGGGCCACAAGATGGCACAGTTGCTGTTTGCAAAGGAGAATGTGTGTAACATTACCCTTTAATGGCCTGTTTTTCCCAAGAGAAACCAAGCAGAATTTGCTTTCTTTTGAATAAAATTGCTTAGGAAAACAGATTTTATTTATTTGCTTTTCTTGATTTACTATTCAGGAGAAAACTTAAGTGAGCGGCATTAATTGTCTCTGAGGTTATTTGTGTTGATAGAATTTCCACTGTAATCATCTGAATTTATCTCTTAGGGCAGGAAAAAAATCTTATTTAACTTTATCCAGGAGGATGCGTTCATAGATTTATAATCCTTTTGTTTTTGCATGTATCAAGTGAAAGGCTTTGGCATGTCACTGTGAATGATTTTGTGATGTATGAAATCATATTAACAAAGTGCTTAGGTGAAAATGTGTTTGGCTCGGATGCTTTTGGCTTCTAAACAAAGATCTGGAAGAACTGGAGAATGCTAAAATGCTCCTGGATGTCATCAGTTTTGTACGTGGCCGAATTTTGTCACTAGGCACGCTGCTAGTTCCTTTAGAATTGTTTTCCAGCCCCATTTATCTGGAGTTTCCTTATGGGTATGTTGCTGAAGATAAACGGGCAAGTCTCTAAAATGGGTTTCTTTTGCATTCTCCCTTTTCTAGTCATTCCTGTATTCCATTAATCAGACAATATGCCTGCGGCTGGATAGCATCGAGGCCAAGCTGCTGGCACTGGAGGCTACCTGTAAATCACTGGAGGAGAAGTTGGATCTGGTCATGAACAAACAGCACAGCCCCATCCAAGTCCCCATGGTGGCAGGTTCTCCTCTTGGCGCTACGCAGACGTGCAATAAAGTTCGATGGTAAGAAAAGAACAGATTACTCATCAATGTGCTGTTTAAAATAACACAAATCTGCTTTTTTGGCATCCAGCTCTCTGTATAGCTGTCGAGCTTGGTATGCTGTTTATGAACGTAGAATTAATTTATCTTGAAGGTAATTTTTGTACCAGTTTCATGAGGTTACGTCCAATGAGACGCTGGTCCGGGGAGCGTTTGCAACTATTTCCACATTTCACTTTGACTTAGGCCAGACTGATTCATCCATCCTCTGGAAAAGGCTCATCAGCTATTTTAGACAGGTTTTTTTAGGCTTGCTTTACTTTGATTTATGTGGCTGTTTGGAGTTAATGAGTTCATCATCATTGTAATTGCTTCTCATCTTTCTTTTATTCAGCAGAAATACAATGGAGTTTGTTTTATGTGCTTGTTTTCTAACTACACCTGCTAGATTAGTACCTGTGCTTATTTTAGGGTTAGAAGTGGGGGATGGAAGATCTGTTAAATAATCTAATCCACTCTGATGAAGGAGCAGGTTTGACCTGCAGCACCTTCATGTGTGATTCACCTCATATGGTTTTTAATACCTAAAACTTGTGTCTCTCATTTTACCATGGAGATGATTCTAGCCAGAGAATTCTGCTTATCAAAAGACTCTTGTGTCTAACAACCTTTCCCTCTTCATTCATATTGTTATAGCTAGAAAATCTTCATACTTCTCTAATTAATTACTTTTTATTCTCCATTACACCTTTGTATAGACAACTTTCCCATGTCATACCATTCTAGGCAAGATACACCAACTTAATTCTGCTTTTGTCAGTCTATTTTGCCATCTTCTGATCTTTTTCATAGCTTTCTCTGAACTTTCTCAGTATCTGAAAATTACTGTGAATGTATTTCTGGTATGTTATACTCAATGCAGTGTTTCAGGTATACTACTCTAGAGCTCTGTGGAAAAAATATCAATTCCTTGCTTTATGATGTGGGACTCATCCACATGAGGTAAGGCAGGATGGTGGGGGGGAACATAAACCCCTCACCACAAATTTTATACTCTCTACCAGGCCACTACTTGCTCTCTGCTAGGGTGGTGTTTTGGCTTTTTTTTTTCCCCCTCTACTGGTCTTTGCACTTGTGCTGGTGATGGAAGTCCAGAGCATTGGATACCCTCCTTTTTCCATTTATTTCTTTTTTTTTGAATAGGTGCTGTGTCTCTGTTTATGCTTTTGAAGGCTTCCCAGTCATACACTCAAAACATCCATTGTGGCTAAGTTCTACATTAAATAAAGTACATGGAATAACCATTTGGAATAGCAATGACTAGCAAGTAACTAGAATATTGCAGCAGTTTTATTTCCAGGTACTCTGTACCAATAATTATTTCTCAGGGTACCTTCTTTAAATCTGTTAATAATTTTTTTTTAGTCATTACATGAGAGATCTTCAAGATCCTGTGCACAAGCTGAACTTCTTACTGTGGTTTGTGACAGAAGACTTCAAATACATCTTCAGAAATGTACAGCCCCCTTGGGATTCTATTAATTCGTGTTCAGTGAATGATTTCCTCTGTAAATTGTATTATTTTGTGTTCCCTAAGGCATTTATCAGACCTGAGGTTGGTTCTTTTTTTAATCTCTATAGCCATCAGAAATCTGTCCTGTATGTTACTGGTGAGCTGGGTGTTTAATCTTTTGATTCAGGTGTACAAATTTATGATGATAGCTTCTCAGACAGTCTGAACATAATTTAGATAGGAATCTTGAAGACTGTAAGATTCTCTGCCCCAAATATTTGTTAGTGTTGGTATGAAGTTGCACATTATCAGATGCATCTTGCCAACACAGCACTGAGGGCTTTTTGTTCTTTGAGCAGTCTGCGGCCTATAACTCAAAAGAAAATAATTAGGGGTGTATGTGTTTAACTTGGCATTAGTAACACTTCAATTTCCCAGTTGATAGAATGTTTTACTGAATTCCCTGTCTCATTCATGAAAACCTTTATCACTTGTTGATTACTTCCAATTCATGCCCACGTGGACTGTTTTATCAACGCTCTGTATGGTTCCCTCTTACCCTTAAATTGCAGATGGCAGGGGAGGGGTGCCAGCAAGAGTTTGTCTTTTGGACATTGGGTTTCAGATTCTGCATCTGAATGAGGTTCTTCAACCTCCTCTTCCTTCTGCCACTGTAATAATAGCAGCTTTGCCATTAAAACCATTCTAGTTAGCAAAAGGCTGTCAAACAGATGGTGCTGCATTGCCAGGAAAGCAGACTCCCATTCTTTTTCTGATAAATACCTCAGGGTTTGTGATTTTTTTTTTTCCCCCTCTCCTACTCTACAGTGAATTTTGTTTACAGTTTTTCTGATGATTTAGTGGCTTGTGTTAATTTGGTGCAGATTTAACAAGATCAAAATTTGTTTTGCAGCAGTGCACACAGTGAAGTTTATGAACTGTAAATTCACACAGCTTGATTGCTTTGTGCTATTCATGCTTTGAAAAGGAAACAAATTTCCTAAGACTTGTCAGTATGACAGACGCTTAAGTCATCATGTGATGAAAACAAGGATAGCTTGGGACAGAGGAGCTGTCTTCTGTGTCATCTTGTGGTGGCATTGTGTAGCTGGAGCATGCCAGGTGAATTCACAGCTGTGCACTGTGCCCTGCCTGGATTAGGACGTGGAACTGGATGCTGTGCACTGCAGTGACAGTCTGTCTATACAGCTGCTCCATGTCCTGATGGAGATGGGTGACAAGTGGTGACCCTCAGGGGCCTGTACTGGGGCCGGTGCTGTTTAATATCTTCATCAATGACATAGAAAGTGGGGTCCAGGCACACTCAGCAAGTTTGCAGGTGACACCAGGCTGAGTGGTGTGGTCTACATGCTTTGAGGAGCAGGATCCATCCAGAGAGACATAGACAAGCTGGAGAAGTGGGCCTGTGTGAACCTCAGGAGATTCAATAAGCCCAAGTACACCAAGTTCTGCCCCTGGGTCAGGGCAACCCCTGGTATCAGTTCAGGCTGGGAATGAAGGGCTGGATGAAGGACCTGAGGCTGCTGGGGATGAAGAGCTGGCCAGGAGCCCCCATCAGCCTGGGCTGCCCCCCCAGCAGCGGGGGCAGCAGGGGAGGGAGGGGATCCTGCCCCTCTGCCAGCTCTGGGGAGCCCCCCCTGCAGTGCTGGGGCAGCTCTGGAGTCCTCAGCACAGCAGAGCCAGGGACCTGCTGGAGCGGGGCCAGAGGAGCCCCAGCAATGCCCCGAGGGGGGAACCCCTCTGCTGGGAGCCCAGCAGGAGAGAGTTGGGCTGGGGCAGCCACAGAGGAGAAGGCTCCAGCTGGGGAGACCTGCTGGGGGCTGCCAGGACTGCCAGGGGCCTAGAAGAAAGCTGAGGGCAGACTTTTCAGAAGGTCATGTGACAGGACAAGGGGTGATGGTTTTAATCTAACAGAGGGAGATTTAGACTAGAGAGAAGTGAGAAATATTTGCTGCTGAGGGTGGTGAGCCCCTGGCCCAGGCTGCCCAGAGAGGTGGTCGCTGCCCCATCCCTGGAACCATTCCAGGTGAGGTTGGTTTGGGCTCTGAGCAACCTGCTCTAGTTGGGGCTGTCCCTGCTCCCTGCAGGGGGGTTGGATGGGGTGACCTTGCAGGGTCCCTTCCCACCCAAACCAGTCTGGGATTCTATGGTTAGGGTGGAAGAAGTCTCACTTTGTTACAGTTGTCAGATTTACTTTAAATGGTAAGTTGTCTTTTCTAGTAAAATTAACACAGTGATTTATTGGGATAACTCATACCTTTTTTGTGCCAAACTGTTGTTTCCAAGATTTAAAAAATTCTTATTAGGGAAATGAAGCAGAAGTTTTCAAGGAGACTTTCAATAAATCAGGAACCACCCTGTATTACTAGCTCCCAGGACAGAAATGCAGTGCACTTTAGTGTCTCATTCTGCTTGCTGTCTCTTTATTAAACACATGAGGAATGATACATGTTGAAATCTACCACCATCCTTTTCTGGGTACGTGTGACTTCTGAAGGCTTGCTGATATTTCTTGGAAAACTATGAAATGCTGAATGCAGAAATTACAGTACTGTCTGTGCATGTTATCAAGAGCAGTAAGTACATCTTCATGAAAGCTGGATTCTGTTCTTTTGTTCATATTATTTATTCTGATCCACTGTTGTGGTACTTCATTTTATGCTAGCTAATTGTGGTGTAGATAAGGAAGAAAATGTTACGTGGTGCTGTTTAATGAATAATTTGCATGAACAGTTGAGATACAGAGGAACAATAGGGTAACTTGTAAATCTCCAGGTAAGAGTTCTAAGCTACAGCAAAAATTAGCAGGAGAAGACTTCTTTTGAAAGGAAGTAATTCTGAATTTGTGAGATGTAAACTGTTTTGGGGGAAAGAGCAATAGGCCATAAACAACATGGAAATGCTTGTAGCTGTTCTATTTCAATAAATCACATGAAAAGCAGAACTACAAAAGTGTAGTTTCATACAGGGGTTGGTCTTTTCTCAATGTTTAGTGACTGCTACTTAAAAACACATAGTTGTCAGGATTACCTACAAAGACATCATGTTAATAATTGAGTGTTAAAAATTTATTTCTTGGAAGAAGTGCTGTCAGAATGTTTCAGAACCGGTAGAATGGATGGCAAAAGTCCCTCAGGTTGCACAGAGTTGTGCTGAACTATATGGAGCTTGAAAAGAGCCAAGAACAGTAGCAAAATAATGTAATAAGTGAGTGATGGGAGTACGTGTGTTGTGCGGGTGTTCTGAGCTCTGTCCGGCTCTGGGCAGCGTTGCTGCAGCCTCACTTTTCCATCCAGGAAGTTCCCTCGCCTCTCTTCCTCTGTCTGCAGCATTTCCTGGCAGTGTGGCTATTAAAAACCTCTCATTTCTGTTCTTTTCTTTATGAGGTACCATGCTGGTCAAAATTTCCAGTAGCTGCTGAAAGTTTCTTGGCTAGGAGAGCTGGTGCGGTGCCTGGTGGCCTGTCAAGTGTGGCAGCCTCAAATGA